CAGCGTTGGCGATGTTCGTCAAGGTTACCGCAAGCTGGCTTTCAGGGCGCATCCGGACAAAGCAGGAGGCGTTCTAGCCAGTTCAACGCTGAGGTCGATGTACAACGCTCTGCATTGTTTCCAGGATGTGTTGGAAACGCTGCTGCAACTACATTGAGCTCTTCTTTTGACGAAGAGGCCTCTTCGGCCAACCAGTCATGCCTCAGCAACTTGATGACCTGGGATGGATCTTACTATGCATGGTGGTCGCTGCACTTACCCATTGGGGACCTGAAGGAGTTTACTCCCACCAGGTCACAACCCCTTTCAGACGGACCTGCGATGTACCGCACTCACATCGATGATCCACACCGGCGGCGTGAGACTGACCTTCACGGCAGTTTCGCAGGTGATCCATTGTGACCGGCAGCACAACCCAGGGAATGAAAACCATGAGACTGATCAGTCTCACAGGATCGGGCATACTACAACATTCAACTCAATGGATGCGTATGGATGGTGATCTGCCCAGTTGCAATTCACCGAAGCAAGATCAGATCTCATTGAAGCAAGATCAGATCCGAGCACCAAAGCAATTCACCAAAGCAAGATCCCAGTACCAAAGCAAGATCCCAGCAGCAAAGCAATTCACCAAAGCAAGATCCCAGCACCGAAGCAATTCACCAAAGCAATTCACCAAAGCAAGATCCCAGCACCAAAGCAAATCACCAAAGCAAGATCCCACCACCAAAGCAATGCCCCTGCAAAGAAGCAGGCGGGCAGCAGCTGGCAGCAGCTCTACACGACCATCATACCCCTACAAGCTGCAGATGTACTTGTAGCATTATTTTACTATTATGCCTATTGAAGTTGAAGAGTAACCAAATCATTCACAGTTGCAAATGTATTACTGAGAGTAGCAGAGGTCTCACACGCACGCAAGCTGCCTGCGCTCTTCAAAGTACATACACATGTAGCCTTCTCACTTCTCACTCCCAAATGTATTGATGCAAAAGCGTTACTACACAAAAGAGTTCCACAGATCAGAAGAACCCTTCGCAACGCTCCCGACCCCGGGAGCAAGAACAGCGCTGACAGTTTTCATATTTTTCTTTGTAAACGACAGTTAACCATGCAACTCGGAATGGCGGCCTTCACATTGTTTATTGTGACCAGGCTCTTCTTGAACACAGTTGCAGAAACACTGCCAGGTCCTTTTTCTTGCGTCCTTAGCTAGGCAACCAGAATCTCAGAACAAGCAGTGTCACTTCCATAGCAAATCCCAAACGTGGTCGGTCCTTCTTCAGTGGATGTGACAAAGGCAACCCTGAACCACACGCAGTCCAGGGTCTCTGTGCCACACAGACCAGAGATGTGCTTCGATATGGCCTGGGCCGGGTGAGGTGATCAATGCAAGAAAGCAACAAATCAGGGAGGGGTGATGGGTGAATGAACTCTGCTCCATGGGTCCACCAACCAGACTCCCCTCTTCAGAAACTCTAAGAGTCCTTAATTTAAGAGGGTTTGCATTTCAGAACAGTGTAGACACCTACCAATTCAATCCAAATTGATTGAAGAAATGTCTTGGTGCTTGGGAATACGCTGTTTCCTTTGTTGGAATCAACAGTGAACAAACTCAGCTCTTTTAATAGACAAAACCCAATGGCCTCAATGACTCAACCTCATTTCAACCCAGGTCTGATAAAGTGCACAGCTGCAGGGTAGCACAGCGCATCACTTTTCCGCTTTGATTTGCAAATCAAAGCTTGCCACAGTAGCTGCAACGGATGATTGGGGAAGCCCGTCCACAGCGTGACTCGTCATTACCGCGCCTAAGAAAGTAATGCAATGAAGCAAGTCGACCCATAAATACAAACCCCATTTGTAAATTGTTTGTTGGGGGCTTCGTAGTCCCTCAGTCGACCTAAAGAAGTTGATAAATAGAGTCAATGATTCAAGGGCATCGCCCAGCCACCACGCTGAACCTGACAGACCAGCTTCCCCTCAGCACAACTGGTGTGTGGCACTGCACCTGGTTTCCCAGTGGCCACCCAAAATAAAGCTAGACTAGAGTGTGACTCAATTCACAATTCAGATCACTTAGAGTCGAGCCTACGTTTAGTTAGAGTGGCAGTCACGGTTTGATTCAGTGGCGGGTTGGGGGTACACATGTGACCATCTAAAGACTCAGTGCACACCATTCATCAAACCTCTAGCAACCAACTGTGATTGAACCCTCCGGGTAACAGATCTCACAGGCGGAAATCAAAATCCCCCCCTACATCAATGTCAATGACATTGTTTTCATGACTCGACTCGACCATTCATATGATGTTTATTTATTTTGGGGCTTCAATGAGAGCACCAATCATCCAAGTGTTTGGGTAGCCTCTAACTGGTCAACCAAAAAATAACATCACACTTCCGCAGTCGCAGCTATTACCCATCCGGAGCTGTGGCATCATAGCCAAAATTCTCACACAGGGTGAGCGCCGTGGCCTGGGAAAGAGACCTGTTTCCCTTGCTCAAGTAAACTCACACCATCGCCAGGGTCAATGTGTTCCTTCAAATGGAGGTGTATGGTCTAATGGTAGTATGTTGCGAAAGCCAGACCAGGGTTGGGTAGTACCAAGGAAACAACGCAAGAACCGTTTTATGGTTAGCTCCTGATTGGTGATCTTGCCTCAGGTAAGTTTTAGGGCGACATCCAGGTCCAGTCGAGGGTCCAGTATCGATGTTGGAATAGCACAGATCTATCCCCAATCTGAACACAGACTACTTCATTTGTGTTTGCGTTGTGAAGGAAATCACAGGGGCCCAATCTACCCAAGCCATGGGACCATTCAGTCTCTCACACAGGTGGCATTGCCACGTCCGTCTTCTTGGCTGCTTCCACCTTTGCCAGAGCCTTGGCCTTGGGGGGCTCCGAAGCTTTGGAGGAAGCTTTTGAAGATGCTTCGGTTGGTGCCCTTGTTGATGCTTCCGACCTGGCGCCAGTAGCAGGTTTCTTCTTGTTGGGCTCATCCGGTGTCTCCCCAGCCTCCAATGCCTTGGCAACACCATGTGACGGTGAAGGGGCATGGCAGAGTTGAGGGCTTTGGGCGCATGAAAGGTGGTCGCCTCCTACCAGCAATGCGCACAGATGTATTATTGCGTTTTCAACCCGCACTGCTGCCAGAAATGGTGAGTATTGATTGTTTGTGGGGATGAATCAACTCGTCTTTATTAAGACACCCCTACAGAGGCCATTACCATTGAATGAGTTGTATTTCAATCATTTCAATCACCAAGGGGTTTAACAAAGATAGGGTGAGATGGGATCGGACGCAGTGTGAGAAGGCATTGTTATTGATGTCATAGTGGGTCCGAATCATCATGATGTTGCCATCCCAAAATTCAATTGCTTCTAGTCTCCAGCCACATACTTTAAGTCTTAAAGGCACACACCTAATTCTTTCAATCAGGAATAAGGGTGGTTTGTCATTTGTAACATTTGTACTGGACCCGAGTCATATAGTTGTTCACAGGAAGGGTGAGTGATTCCAGTGATTCGTGTCCACAACCAGTGTGGGCAGTGCACCATCGCTTCGAACAACTAATGCACTCAAGGGCTACATTGACTCAACACCTGTGTTCCACCCATGACCCATCACCCCCAACGTGTTCAACCAGTAGAGGTGGTTTCCACTGTGGCGCGTACACTTTGTAAACATGATTTGATTCGAACATATCTCAATCACACCCCTAAGACACATTCAGTTTGAATCTTCATCAGTCCTTCAGCTGTCCAAAATAGCTGGCATAGATCACATTGGCATCCCTTCTTCGCCCCCCTCCCGAGGACGAAGCCACGCGTCAATGGAGTCAAAGCTCCAGCTGGACTATGTTGAGGCGTGTGCACTGCATTGGCCTGGATAGGAGGCAATGGGGTTCCACTCCCACGGCCAGCCATGGTCCACACACAGAAGGATCAAACGTGAGCACTCCCTCAATCAAGACTGATTGAATTTGGGCCAGGTGCATCGAGTGTTTGTGGCCACAAATCTTCCAAGAGACTCTGAAACTGTAAGACGCTGTAAGACTGCTTGGATTCACACTCAATGATTGTGTTTGAATCTAGTCTAGTCTAGCTCAGCAGCAAGGTTGCAGTAGTATAGAATGTACATTGCATCACCGCACTGAGTCATTCCATAGACTCAGGACGAGTCCTCCTACTCAGAAACAAGAACAGTCATACACATGTTTCTGGACACTCTGCCTCTCTGATGGACGGTTGGTCAGTCAGCCATTGAATTGGCACCGCCAGCATGCGCCTTTGCATCATGTATTGCATTGGGCATTGTGATGGATCCTGGCCACTTGGCCTGTCATTTAGTCGCCTCCAAACACGTCTCAACACGCTTACAAGTATATATCGCACTCAATTGAATCAGTCTGAGTCCAAAAAACCAGCACACAGCAGGTGACAGTGCCAAGTGTTGTCAAGCAACATTCTGGGACATTATAGCCTGCCTGTCACTGTACACAAGGTGAGAGCATCAGCTGACCTTGACACCACAGGCACGCCAAACCATCGCCTAGTGTTTGCCCTAGAAAGTCACTCCCTCAATTGGAAGCAGGATAGGGCAACCATCTCCACCAACGCCACACAGGAGAAGGCCATTGCATTTCCAACAAGAGCTGCTGCCCTCTTGGGATCTCGCACTGGGATTGGCTCGCACCCAATCGCATCCCCCATTGCTTGCCGGATGGGAAAGGAGAGGACTGTCAGCCTTGGATCAGTGCAAGGCGCAGCCTATTCAATTCACATCACATCCATCATGGCTTAACTTAAGTCAATGCCTTTCTGAGGCCCATTAGTCAGTGGACATAATAAGTGGAAGTAACCTGTTTAAAAATTAAATAATTTATTAATATATGGAAAATATTTAAACCCTAATTATAATTCAGGGCTGAGTCACCAGACTAGTGAAGCACAGAGTCACACACACAGTCCCAGAAACAAGAAGACAAACTACAAGTTAAAAACAACTACAACTGGCGAGGTGCTTCTCACAGCTGGTCAAAAATCTTTGGTGTGCAGGGTACCAGAACTTTCCAGCAGCATTGCGGCGAAATGTTGGAACTTTGCCACTCACAGCCGACCATGTCCGAGCCCACTGGGGATTGTCTCCCAAGAGCACGCAAAGATGTTCATCAGTCTGTGGGTCACGTTGATACCTTGATTGGTACTCATGGGAAAGCTCTGCAACCACCTTTGCCTCCCTTTCAGTCAGGAGGTAGTCAAGGCTCTTGCAATTTGACCTGAACTCCTTGCCACTAGAGCCTCAGTGAGTGAGTGAGTGAGTGAGTGAGGTCAGTCAGGAGCCAGTATGACAAACAGTGTGACTGAAGCCTGAGAGAGTCTGACTGAGTTTGTCAGATAGCGTAATTGCATAAATAGACTCTTTACTCAGACTCGTCAGAGTCTGCGTGGTCATTTTGATTTATTGTAGGACCTGTCCCTTTCTCACTTAAAAGAGCCCAGGCACGGGCCACTTCCATTGCATCAAGCTGGATCTCCATTGGGTCTGCAGTGAGGTAGTCCCCTGGTGCGGTGGTGCAATCCAAGCTAGTTTGCCGTTGGTGTAGTTCCTCAACCAACGCCCTATAGAGTGTGATAGGGTCAACCAAGCATTTGGTCTGGGTCTTGGAGGCCACCACAATCACATAGATGCGCTTGCGACTGGCGCCACCATGCCCACAGTGGTCCATATCAACCAGAATGGGGTGTAAATTGTACAGGTCTCCCAGCAATGAATGTATTACATCCACGCGCAGATCCTCAGATGGGACGGTTCGCTTAGGCCCGCCCAGATCCCACTACGCCGCACACTGCTGAACAAGGCGGGGAGCGGGCTACGTGGGCTGTTCTGTCCACAGGGTCCACCCAAGCAAGATATTGAAGGTTTTGTTTTGGGGCTTGAGATTTCAAATCCACTTACACTTTCATTGTTACACTGACCAACAGTGAGTCAAATCACTACAGGGTCCCAGGGGAAAGGAGCATGTTCACATTAAGTGATCAGTCCCACACACAGCCTAACACCAAAAACCATGTTAGGACACAGACAAGTGTTCTGGTGTGTTCTCCAGAATGCCCAGAGGAATCCTGTAGCGGCGATACCTCAATGCCCAAATTGCAAAAAGCGGTCCTGTTGGGCCTTCTTCAAGCTCTCTGCCCCTCTTTGCCCGAGAGTTGTCTGTACATGGAAGGCCGCTCACATCGAAATCCACATGTGGCACCTGGCATTGACTTGCCTGCTCACCACCACCGTGCGTCACACAGGCTTGGGTGGTGATCGTCGCGGCCTCGTAGATCCTCCTCTTCTTCTCTCTGAAGCCTTTGTGGGAAGCGCTGTGGGGACCAAGTGGATGAGTTGGACAAGGGTGAGTACTTAGTACTTATGATGTTTCTGATTAGGTCGCGATATCTAGATCACACCTGATCCAAAGGACTCAATCTGACAGACTCCACTACCTAGAACCATACCTTAGCATCTGAATGAGTATAGTTAGTCATGCATTGTAATATACATTACCCCACACTTTCCAGAGGTCAGAACTCAGCACAGCATGAGTGTACTGCGCAGCCCCCATACTTGTTTAGAGTGAATTCCAGTCTCACCTGGACGGCGTTGAACTGAATCGAACCACCGTCACTGGTTCCCAGCGACTGTTGAGCCACTCAGACCAGATCAGATCCATATATAAGCTTGACAAGCAACACTCAGAAGATCGAAAGGTGTCAGCAGGGACCAATTGCAGCATGTTTGCAAACAAACATGGCGTAGGATGCGTGGAACCAGTGACCCGGTTCATCCAAGCATGGTTGTCTAAAATCGGCTGGTGGCATTTCGCGTCAAGTTCCTGGGAAGGGGCGTGGATGGAAAGGGGAGTGGTGGGAGGAGTGTGTTCACACACACCTATTGTACCAAGCGTTACTGTTCTGGTCAGTAGGCAAGCAATGGGATTGCTGTAAGTTCTAACTTACCCATTTCATTTACCTGATACTTAAATCATCCAATCCACTAATAATCAAACAGCGAGATCAGCAGTTGGATATTTTGTAAGTAAATGAGGTTGGATTGGGAACCTACTGATGAAACCCTGGCCTCAATTGTCAAATTACATCACTACAAGTTTCTGGTGGGGGCATCCTGGTGGCCTGGTTTCTGAGACTCACTCAGTGACCCACTGGTAGCATGGAGACTATTTTTCCCAACAATGGGAGTTACCGCCCGTCTCAATCCTAATACTAGTGACAGATTGTTCTGAGTAGTGGACTTCCTGGATGGTGCGTCCATGGGTGGTAGCTTGCACAGTCTCGCAATGAACCCTGCAACAGTGATGTGCTGAGGAGGCTCCCACAATGCCACTGTACGGATATCCACCCGGAAGCTTAGGGCATTGGACTGGTTGACAATGTTTGACACTGCAGCCAAAGCCATCTCCGCTGTGCCGACTCCTGAGCACATACTGGATGATCTTCTCACTGTTCTCCACATGGATGCCTCAGTTTGTTCTTTTCGTGGGATTTTTGTGGCAAATGACATGCGGTTGTGATGTGAATGGGTCATTCATTAGATGTCTCTGGACGGCAGCCACGTGGGTCTATGAATGCATTTGTTGGTATGGTAGATTAGCACCAAGCCACATCCGAAGAGCTCGGCCCCATTTCCTTCACAATCCAGCTCCACGCGTCCTGGGTTTGGGTGAAGGTGTACACTGTTGGCTGGCTGATGCTGGCTGGCATGGTCGTTCCCAAAGACATGATGGTTTCTGAGTTTTTGGAACTAACTTTTGCAGGTACAGGCTGAATGTGCCTGATAAGTCTTCTAACGTGGGTCTAGGAACAAAGGGTTCTCATTCTACAGGCACATTTGTTCAAATGTGTGAAGAGGCTCACACTGAAAGGAACCTTCCGGCAGGCGCAGCAGGAGATTGTGAGATGTTGGGTGCACTCATTTCAAAGAAATGATGTTCCCTTCCTTTATTTCGACCAAGGGAAAAATTTTGCTTTGTGCAAAATTAGGCAACTTAAATCGTAGATTGTAACGCGACCTTCTTAAATGTTAGCGCGCGCAATTTTGATACAGTCCTAATTTTTAAAGACATTCCGATATTGTGATTTCGATGTATTCGAAATTTTTCTTGTGAACTTTTGAGTGTCACATATTTACATATCTCAGTGAGATCTTTTTTGGATCCTTCTTCACGCGTGCTCGCCTCAAGAAAGGGAGGGTGGTGGGACGCACAAAAATTTTGCGCAACGAAGTTTAGCCCGGGGGATGGTGACCAAAACGGTCATCGTCTTAGATCTGGAGACACCTGAGGATGGAGATGATGCCGTTTTGGGAGGTCCTGGCCTTGAAATCAAGTCTCCTAGAAGTAGTGGAACTCCAGGTTCTGCAGTCAATCTGAACTCGGATCCCTTGCGTTGGCTTGATTTGTCGGTGCCCTCCCCAACAGACTTCGGTGATGAGTCAGTTGCAGAATTGTTTGATAAGGAAGCTAGGTTGCGTGATAAATATGATCCTGATTTGGCAACCAGTTCAGCCTGGCGTTCGTTGCAAGCAGACTCGTATAAACAGTCTTGGGAAACGGGGTTTTGGGATAAGTTCTTTGATCCTTGCGCTAGTGCTCTCGATGCTTTTGGAACTTCTCTCAAAAGGCCGTATCCTGTCGGAGCGCCGGACTCGTCAGGCTGTGACAAAACTCCGGAGGTCGAAAGAAGGGTCATGTCACGAACTGCCAAAGTCTTTCGATTCCTGGAACATGTTCGAGATGTGCCGGAACAAACTTGGCAAGAGGAACGTGAGGCATTGTGGGAAACTGCTATTAGGCGCTGGGTTGCTTTGATCGAGTCTTGGAGCGAAGTTGAAGACGAAGCAATTTGCGCAATCAAAAGTGCTGTTGACTTTAGAGACAAAGCTCAGATATTGGTCGGTATCTTTTATAACAAGGCGCCCCAGACGCTGATGAAACGAGCGAACAGCCTTGCACGCATAGTGAACGGCTTGTCGTACAGTGACCAGGCTTTCCCGTGTTCGGAAGGTGAGTTCTATGCTTTTGTCAAATCAGAGTCAGAGGCAGGCGCACCAACTTCGAGGTTGAAAGCATACTTTGAAGCAGTGGTCTTTGCGCGACATGTTTTAGGGGTCGAGTCATTGCAGAAAATTATCGATAGCAGACGCTGTTATGGAGCATGTAATGCGAAGCAACGTTCGGACCCTAGACAGGCAGACCCATTCACGGTCAAACAGATGATAATTTTGCATGAGATATTGAGGGCCGATTCAGAAGCACATGCATGGGATCGTTTGATGGCCGGTATGCTTCTTTTCTGTGTCTATGCAAGATCCAGGTGGTCGGATGCCCAGCACGCAGAGAAGTTGATAGAAGACCGAGACACAGATTTGATCTTGCAGTTCATTGAAGTCAAGACATCAGTGCGTAAGACGGCTAGATCCTTGCACCTTCGTCACATGTTCCTGCCATTGGCTGCCCCAGCATTTGGTGTGACTGATGATGGATGGGGTGAACAGTGGCTTGAAGTTCGTAGGAGTTTAGGTGTGGAAGACCTTGGTTCCTATCCGTTGATGCCGGCGCCAGGTGCGGATCTAAGCCCTACCAAAAGGGCCCTGTCAACGCAGGAAGCAAAAAAGTGGATTGCAAGTCTCTTGGGGCCTGACAACATGCAGGCTGGAGCGAGGCTCACAAGTCATTCTTGCAAAAGCAACATGTCTGAGCTTCATGGCAAAACGCTGTGCTAGTTTTGAGGACCGGTTGACATTGGGATATCACTCCAATAAACTCCGGATTGCAATGGTGTATAGTCGTGATAGTGCAGCTAGACCGTTAGCCTTGCTATGTCACGTACTCAATGAAATTAGGACCGGGGTCTTCGAGCCTGACAACACTCGCAGTGGACGGCTTAAAAGTGATGCCAAGAAGTTGGGCGAAATTGAGCTTTTGCAACTCGGACAGGAGCCTTCGAATAACCGTTCGATGGATTCAACAGGCGCCGATCTAACGGGGTCTAACCCTGATCCACAGCAGGTCGAAGTCCCGGTAGAGCCACAGCTCGACGAGGGGCATGTGACCACGGAAAGCGAGGATTCATCGGATGATGAGCGATGCATAGTTAAGCCAGCCGTCAGCCACCATCATGTTCCGATTCCTCAGAAACTAGGAATGTGGTTCAATGGCCGTACAAAAATGTTTCACTTGGCTCCAGCTGATAGGGTGAAGATCCTTTCATGTGGAAGGAAGATCACCGCCAGCGTCACCAGGCACACAGGGCTCATCAGATTCGATGCGGCGAAGTGCAAGCAGTGCTTTCGACAGCTAAAGCCTTGAGGAGAAAACACGGGTGCTTTACGACTGGGTCGTAGCGCTAAACGGTCACGGTGTGGTTTAGGGATGAGAGCAAGGTTGGACGTGTTGAGTATCGGCGCGAGGAACCTTTGCAGACGTTCCTAAAAGAGACGTGAAACGAGGCCTCCTTGTGCAGTTAGGAGCCATTGGCGTCCCAAACCTAGCCGCAGAGGATGCTGATGATGCCTCTTGCTTGCGGTTGATTTTCTTGCGTTTTGCTGCCTCCGAAACAGGTGTATCAGATACACCTGGTGTTTGAAGAGGTTTTGACCTCACAAATCGGCGCAGACATTCTTAGACCAGACGAAAAACGAGACCTCGTTGTGCAGTTGGAAGTCCTTGGAACTAGGAACTGCGCTTGAGGTAGCGGTTACTGAACTGGCATTGCTTTAATCTGGCAGCCTGAACGGGGCGCCAGGAATTGTTTAACGCTTGTGAGAATAGGCGGTTAGAGCTGACTTGGCTGACCTGTCTGAGATCACATGGATTGTTGATCGGCCCAAGGGCGGTCAATATCATCATAGTGATCTAGGTCGTGGCATGGAGCTCAGTCAGAATGTTTCAAGCATCCTCATAACCCTTTTCGGTTTTCACATGGGTGACAGAGCATCTAAAGAAACATGAATTTGTGTTGACGTCTTGCCAGATCGCTGACATGTCTCTCGCGGATTCGGAAGCGGCTTTTGAGCAACACTGCATGAGGGTCGATGACACAGATTTCCTTTTCAACCTGTTAAAGGGTCAACAGATCAAGAACTTGAGCGCCCTAGCCTTTGCGGTAGGGACGCCCCAATCTCAACCATCAGACGAAGCATTCAAAGAGTTTGCCACGAATCTCAACAGTGGTGTCGATCTTAGCTTCGGAGCTCTTGCTGGGCTTAGGCGCCTGCACTTTGAAGCATCGGCCATAGTTATTGCGGAGCTGAAGTCAA